ACACTTTTGTCTCAATTATTTTTACTTTTTAATATAATCTATAATTATTAAATAAATTCGAAGATGAAATATGTCAACTCATTTATGAGTAAATCAAATAATTTATTAATAAAATATCAAAGTCAAATGAATAAGAAGGACAAAAATATTGGCAGAGAATAGTGTTTTGCTTGTGGTGAACATTAATCTCAATTCTCACGTCAATGAGGTGAGGACAACCTCATTTTTAGAGGTGTCAATATCAATTGGCTCAGTCTAATCCGGTCAAACTTTTATAAGTTGAAAAAATATTTGTTGAGCTTAATCAACTATTTTTACATGGATCATCAAAACTCAACTTAGCTCTTGTCAGCCCATGAATCGGATTGGGCCAACTCATTTCTTTTCGAAAAAAAAATATTTTTATAATTTTATTTAATAATTTTTTTTTCAATAAAATTATTTTATGATTTAATCTATAAATTGATTAATAAAAATATGTTACAAACAAAGAACTTACATAAAATATAAATAAACAAATAAATTACATCAAATATAAATAAAATTTTAATATTTAACACTAACTACCATCCTATAACTATACGTATATAATTAAATAAATAAAAACTTCAAGACTCATTTATATCTTCCACAATTCTTATTTTCAAGCAAATCATTTAAATCTTATTTAGACAGTAATGATGTCTGAATGTCTGAATAACGTATATAATCAATTAAAATAAGAAACTTCAAGACTTATTTATATTTCCACAATTCTTATTTTCAAGCAAATCATTTAAATCTTATTTAGACAGTAATGATGTTATGAATTCTGAATAATTATCAATTTATCATCTAAATATTATTTTACAAAGAAAAAGAGATGCAAGTTTCAATTTTAATAAAATATTAGTTTGATAATAAAAATTAAAGACATTGAAATATATAGAATAAGCAATACATTAATAACTAAATTAATATTTTATTAATTAAATATATAAAATTATTAAATTAACTAAAATTATTAATTTATTATTATTTTTTTGGACTACAAGGTAGGCCAGCCCCAACTAAGAACAGCCCACTAATAAAATAAGCTGACCAATTTAAATCCGATTTTAATATGAATCTAAATTTTCTAATCAACCCACCTCACTTACAATACAAAATGGACCCAACCAATGAATAAGGCCCATTTTGACAAATGTATTCACATTCATTCTTCAAAAGCGGGCTCATTACGAGCGTTAAATCTTTGGGCTGGCATGATTTTGCTCTGAGGAAAGCCCAGCCACCTGTAGAGGGCTACAGAGGCGAGAACAGATCCCGTAGGCCCTGTTAGAATGTCGAGTCCAACGACGACACCAGCAGCGAGGTTCTTGCAAGAAACAATTTGCTTCAGTTCCCAGCTGTGATCCTCGTGAGTTTGGGATGATTGTATGACTCAAAAAGGAAGGGGAAATGAAAACAAAGTTGATCTTAAAATCATAGCCCAAAACGAACAGAAATCATTGTCACAACAATGTCAAATGACAAACAAAGTTGCACCCAGATGATTTTGGCAGCATTCTTTGAGGAGAGTAGTCTTGATCCACTCCTATTCAATCACTGCCACATAGAAAAAAGAAAGGGGCTTTAATATTCATCATCGCAGATACAAACAAGAAATTGACGGCGGAGAAGATTCTATTTCCAGAATAGCACAAAATACCATATATTAGTTATTAATTAGAAATTAACTCGCAGTTCCAGGAGTCTAGGCTAATCCCAATCCTGTTGCTCTGTGTTGGTCTTTTTGTAAACCCCATTTCCTTACTCTAAGCTGAAACTCAGCAGAAGCAGCTAGAAACTTCATTGTCTGCACTGGACCCAGTATCTCAATCACCTTCTTCACTGTCGAGCCTCGGAGTTTACCAACTCCCTCTAGTGTCCTTAGCATCGCAGCCTTTAGAGTTTCCATCGCCGACTCAAGCTCTAACGCCTCGCCGTCAATCAGTCCCTCAAAACGCCTGGTCAGATTCAACCCGGAGGCGTTACCAAGCTCTCTTGAATCGTCGCCATTGCCTCTATCAACTCTCACTCTTCTCTTCTACTCTCGTAACTAACTCGCTCAATGGTTTCTTCTTGTTCCGGAGTTAACTCTGTTACTGAGCTGGAGAGTAGTTTAAAGAGTAAGAATGGTTTGACCCGCCAATCCAGAGTAAAGTCTTCTCGAACGAACTTAACCACGGTGGAGAGTATAAGAGGAACACCTGGTCTTTCGCTGCCTTGGATTTCTCTTCTAATTACTGTTCGCAGGAGACAAGACTTCCTGAACCAAGCTTCCGCGCTGCTCGATTTCGTGCCCATCCTGGGATGTGAGTGCTTGGACGAGCTGGTCGAGGAAGTTTTCCTGGCGAATGAACATTTGATCCATTTCTATCCGCCATGGATGCTATTTGTCTTGTGAATAAAAAGTATTATTTTGCAAAGGGCTATGCAGGGAAGGGAAGGCAGTTTATAGAGATATGGAAATACCGACCACCAAGTGTCATTTGAAATAAATTATTTAAAGGATTGTTTACTTCGTCACCCCTTGATAACGGACGAGTCAGAAATTTTATATTTTCTTCAGCAGTAAGCATTTGGAAAGGCTAAATAGGGGAATCAAAGTTTTCTGCTTTTCTTTTGGAGGAAAGTGTAAGCCTCTTTTCGTGCATTCATGTGTCGGAATTCTGGTGGTCTAGGAATGACATTTGCTTAATATGGCAATGCTTTGTGGCGGTGGAAGGCTTCTGACCATACCCATAGACAGAAAGATCCCAATGATTTTATGAATCCATAGCTTCACTCACCCTTCAAACTATCAAAGATTTATATATTGGGTTTGGAACATTTGGAGAATCTAAAAAGTCCACTACTGACTCGGTCTTGACGTGTGAAATCTCCATCTTATTAATGGAGGAATTTGTCCCTTCGTGTGCCTGAAGTCAGAAGACTACCAGAGTGGACTTTTCCAGGAACTGGGCTGCCGGAACAAATAAGGTACAACATGGGCTTGACTTCACTTCTCAGCATTGACCCCCACTGAAACAATAAATGAGGGTCTAAACACTAAATTGGGCCACCTTTTCTTCTGTTTCTCTTTTGGGAAAATGAAAATGGACGATTATTCATTCCATAAAAGTTTTTTCTATTTTAATGAAATATGTGACAACCTTTTCATCTTATTTATGAAATTTAAAAATTTTAGTGTAACATTCAATGATTCAAGAAAAATACTATACAATATATAACCCAGCTGGCTGGCTGGCTGGCTGGCTTTTCACACAGCTGATCAGTGATCACTCTCTGTTTGTTTGGTGCGGTCCACGGCTTGGCAGCTGATACAACCAAGGCCCTCACACAGATACGAGCTCGTCTTGTCTTTCCAAGTACAAGGAAGAAAGGACCAAAAGCACTGACAAAAACAAAACCAGAGATGTCTAGCGGTTGTGTATAGTTCACTGTGACGAGGAAACCCGGTGGCCCAAATCGAAGGCACTCAATATTTTCTGCCTACTTGGACGCATGTCGTACGGGTACGCCTGCCCCGTCTGCCTCCGTCTTCAAGTGCAACTGATAATGGGCAGCTTTTGTCGTCGAGGTGAAACTGAGGTCATGTGCCTAAAAGTTTACTTGTTTTTCTCCATCCCATCTTTTCCAATTGGATTGTAAATTACCACTTATCCCGGGTTTCTACGCTTCAAACACTTTTCGAGGACGTAATTAGACAAGTATATAACCATATTATATACGGATTAAGTGCGTTAACCCAAATTAAGATATGAATATTAACATTAATCAAGGGTTCATTTAAAAGGATGTTTCATAAGACGTCATGGTTTATACCTTTCAAACCGTTTTCTTTAGTTTTTTCATTTTCTTGCATCATCATTCCTTCGGTGCTGCAAACCCCCACCCCACAAAGAATCTATTTGCGGTACAAGCAAGCAAATGGTAGGCTAGCTAGCAAAATATTCCATCTTTGTGTTGGGTATGCTGATCTCTGAAGTCATTATTAAAACAAGATCAACATCCAAACTAAAATCAAGCCTGTGATTATACATGTCTTCCCAAATTTCATTTCCTTACTAAAAACAATTCCAATAAATGTTGTATGTCATTTCAAACAGTACTTAAATTTGGCCACTTCTCCTTGGACAATCATAATCCAAACTTTAGATATTTAATGAGTCGTTGTATATTTTAATTTTTTAAATTTTAAATTAAAATCTTACTGCACTGGGTTTAATTTAATTTTATGTTAATTTATGTAATTATATTTACATCTTGATAAAAAGAAGCACATTCTTAATTAGTTGTCAGAATTAATTAAGTTAATGCAAGGAGCTAATTAAAGCATTACCTTCGGGTTGTGTTGTGTTGAAAAGAAAGACAGTGACCAAAGTAGTGACGCCTTGACTAATTATATCGACAGGTAACGTAAAAGCCAAAAGGCAGGCAAAAATCATGTTGCCAACACTTAGAAAAGGAGCCCCACATAAATTGTTGCCATATAATAAATAAATAAATATATAAAAAGCAATGATTAACATTACTATATAACCTAATAATTTATCAACAAAAAGAACCAAAAAAATAAGTAGAATCATAGGACAGTGATAAAACGACAATCCAAATAGCAAGAAAACGAAGCAATCCTTTGGGTATACTTGGCAAGTAAGCATAAGCTCTTTAATCTTAACTTTAACAGCCCAAAAGCTAAAAAAAAAGGGAAAAATAAAAAAGAGTAAGCCGATTATTTATTTATTTGTTTTTGAAGAGTTTGATTCAAGAGCGCATGCTAAAAAGAGCCAAAGCTGGCCGACCTTGAAGGGACACCTAAACAAACTTCCCAAATCCAACTACATAGAAATCTTTTAATTATTGAAATGTGTTTCTATTTTTTTCCTAAAATGTCCATGTTGTCATGCATTTTTATAAGGGTGGTTTCGTCATTTGAAGAGGAATCCTACAAATTCGAAACTGAACCTTGTTATAGGGGAAACTTTGGCAGTCGAGGTTACGATGGATTGGAAAACAACAAAAATATCCTGAACCGAAAGTTGCCCTCGGAATAGCCTCAAAATTTCCATTTAAGTCAATTTCCTAATTTCTCGGTTATTTTCAGGTATGGCTTCCTTTGTAATTTTCTTCAATTGTAAGGACATTTCCATTTCTTAGTTGATTACCTCGTCACAGTCTAACCTGCCAGTCTTCTTTCCACTCTCTCCACGGAAACCGCCACCTCGCGCAACGGAAACTCGAATTTCAACGACCAGAGGACGAGAAATTCCGTCTTAGAGAGCGAAAAAGTAAACAGTTATAGAGAGAGAAAGAAAGAAGAAATCGTGAAATTCAAATGAAAGGGATGGCGATCCCCGAAGCAGACCGCCAACGAGCCAGAGGGAGACCTCCGACGTCGTCTTCAACTCGACCGGCAGCTCGACCGCCGGTTCGAGCTAGAGTTCCACTCCGGCAGCTGCTTCGAGTCGCATCCGTGGCGTGCGGGATACAATTCGGGTGGGCCTTGCAACTCTCTCTCTTGACACCTTACGTTCAGGAGCTAGGTATACCTCACGCGTGGGCCAGCATCATATGGCTATGCGGGCCACTTTCGGGCCTCCTGGTACAGCCTTTGGTGGGCCACATGAGCGACCGATGCACCAGCCGGTTCGGTCGTCGTCGACCTTTTATTGTGGCTGGTGCAGTTTCGATTATCACTGCCGTTTTGATCATCGGTCACTCCGCCGATATCGGATGGTTGTTCGGCGACACAGGAAGCTACCGACCGAGAGCTATCGCGGTGTTTGTTTTCGGGTTTTGGATTCTTGATGTTGCTAATAATATGACACAAGGTCCTTGCAGAGCTCTTCTAGCTGATCTTACTGGTTAGTTTCTTTTTCCCTTTTTTTATGCATTTTTTTTTTGTTTTGTTAGAATCATATAAACCCCAGAAGAAACAGTTAGCTTAATTTCTTTTCTTTTTCTTTTCAACATTTGTTATGGAGAAATATGATTATTTCGTATTCTGTATCATCTTTTTAAAGAGTAAAGCAAAAGAGCCATCACTGGACACTCATCATTGAATATTAATTATTTTACATTTGATAATTGGTAGTATTTATCTTTTTATCATTGCGCCTTTAGTGCTTGTCTGAAATTTTATTTTTTAAAATATGAATTCGGTGGACGGTTGTGCCCCTTCAGATATAATTTTGGTTGCTATAATAATTGCAATAGTTTTTTTTTTGATTCCGTACAGTTTGTTGAATATTTGCAAATGCAATGTGATAGGTAAGTATATAACTGTTGCCAATTTAGGGTCTTACTAAATGCAGCTTGATCAGATAATTTAGCTATTATTTTATCATTTCATTTCCTTCAAGAATGAATAACCTTCCGAGATTGTTCCACATGTGTATGGTATATATGCTGATCAGATGTTTTCCATCCCACATTTTTAGCAATCATGGGTGGTATGTAGGGAGGTTTCTAATTTTAATTAGAGCTTGAAAATGCATACTACTAACAGCTCCTGCAATGTCATGAAGAAGGTTGCAAAAGTTGTTTGTTTGAACTAGACATAAAAATTCTTCTCTTAGGTTTTGTTTATTCCTTTTTCACATAGTGATTATCATATCATTGCCATTTTAAGAGATAAATCTTCATGTTTCAAAATTTTATATGTAACACTGCTTAGAATGCGACTGTCTGAGGCATGGAGCCAAACTTCTACAAAAAAGTTTGAATAGATTATCCTTGTTCCTGGCACCTGAGATTATTCTACAACATTTCATGATAATAATACCTAAAGTTCCTGCACATAGAATAGATGAAAGAAATTTGACAACTAGTGTTGCCAGGTTTGCAATTCTAATCAGAAACCAAGTGAAAATATTTCAGCGGTTACATGTTTTTCCGTGTAAATGCACACACAAACATATTAACGTTGCAATGATGGGGTTATTTATATTGCCCAATACCAGTGAAAAATTGCATCTGCACTTGTTTCATGTATAAAGATAAAATCCATGGAACCGAGCTACAAATTGACATTATCTTGCTGTCTTTCTCTCTTATGTTAGGAAAGGATCATAGAAGAACTCGAGTAGCAAATGCTTACTTCTCACTGTTTATGGCTGTTGGCAATGTTCTTGGCTTTGCAACAGGATCGTACAGTGGTTGGTTTAAAATTCTTGCATTTACCATGACAGCTGCCTGTGATGTTGACTGTGCAAATCTCAAGTCTGCCTTCTTTCTAGACATTATTTTTATTGCAATTACTACATATGTAAGCATTTCAGCTGCGAAAGAAGTACCTCTAGGTTCATTTGATAGATCTACACCCTTTCATGAAGAGGGGCCTGAACAGTCAGGTCAAGCTGAAGAAGCTTTTCTATGGGAATTATTTGGAACATTTAGATATTTCACCGGGCCTATATGGATAATCTTGTCTGTTACTGCACTAAACTGGATTGGATGGTTCCCTTTTCTTCTCTTCGATACTGATTGGATGGGTCGAGAGATATATGGTGGCCAGCCAAATGAAGGGAATAATTACAATGCTGGGGTCAGAATGGGTGCATTTGGGCTGATGTTAAATTCAGTTGTTCTAGGAATTACTTCAGTGCTTATGGAGAAGCTTTGCCGCAAATGGGGAGCTGGTTTTGTCTGGGGAGTTTCAAACATTCTCATGGCTCTCTGCATTCTTTTAATGCTCATTTTATCGTATGTGGCAAACCATATGGATTATATTGGCCATGATCTGCCCCCAAATGTCATTGTGATTGCTGCACTAGTGATTTTTTCCATTCTTGGTGTTCCATTGGCGGTAAGCTGCTCTTTCTTCTACAGAAAATCATGTGATCTTTTCTATTGAATTTATCAAGAATAAAAGGTAAAGAAATTGTAGTTGTTTTCTCCACATGGACTTTGTGCAATCAACATTTGGCTACTCTGCATAGGCATTCAGAAAATTAAAGTTAATCAATCTCCACTTGCTGATCTTCTTGGTTCCAAGATAAAACATCGTCAATCATTAGGCATGAAAGTACTAAAATATTGAGTGTCCTATTGATATTTTAATGGTGAATTTTAGCATGTCAGTTCTTAAAACAGACCCAGTTTTTTTAAAAAATTTTCTGGCAGTTTTCAGTTTGTGCATTTAACTAATGTCATTGGAATATTTTGTTGCAGATTACGTATAGTGTTCCATATGCCTTGATATCCACACGAATAGAGTCTTTGGGACTTGGGCAGGGTAGGCAAAATTTTTATTTTTGTATCTAAAATTTTCCTTTCTTTTACCTTGTCTAGAAGTGGCTAAGGCACTGATTCTCTTGGTTGTTTTCTATAGGTTTATCAATGGGTGTCCTAAATCTTGCCATTGTGATTCCACAGGTATTGCTTTGCTCCTGAATTCATTTTATTGCCTTTGGGACTGCACTAAACTGAACTTGATTGGAATTTATTAATTTTCCGCTCCCTGCCCCTGACTTCAATTGACATGCCCTCACTGTTCCTACAGATTCATGATGGGGATGGGATCCCTGAATTGATTATACATACATACATACATACATACATACATATGGAACTAAAAGATTGTAATACTCATTTGTTTAATTTTCACCTATTACACTTAAATAACCTAGTTAAATAAGAATTGACATCAATTGGAACAACAGTCCCTCCTGAAGAAAATTAATCAAAAAATTTGCTAAGTTAATTGTAAACTAGATTAAAAATTAAATTGATGATTGATGTCCCAGCAGGGCAGGGATTGTCGCCCTTGTCCCTGTCCCCATTCCCAATCCATGAAGTAAGCCCCGATATGAAGCTTATCAGGGTGAGATGCAGATTCCTTGTTGGGGCAGGGAATTTTTGTTTTGTTTATTACAAAAAGGGCAGGGCAATTTGACATCTGTAAATTTTAAATGTTCTTATGAGCTAATTGTTTAATGCAAGTAGCATTTTATTATGGCAGTTTTGCTTATAGTTGGTCTTATCATGAAGTGGAACACGCCATCACACAGAGTGATAAAAGTCATGCACTGTGATTACATGCGTAGGAACTGCTGTTCATTTTCACCTACTCCTTATGGAGATATCAGTAAAAAATTTATGTGGTAGTATCATATGATCTTGAAATTATGCAATCACCTATTGGATGCCTCTCAATCTTCATCATATCCCAATAGTTGGACCACTGATGGCCTCAGTTAACTTATTGGTTTTATGGTTTATTTAATTGGGAATAAGAATGTGATATCAGCCTGTCAAGCATAGGATCACGTTTTTGAAATGATCATATCATTCATTATAGCCCATTTGAATAATTGAAGTGAATTAGATTTCTGCCTTTCTTATAATTTCTGAAATGCGGTTTAAGTTTAAACAATTCATTCTTCTTAATGTCATTCAAACATTTTAACAAGTTGGAAATATGTTAATTTGTGTTTGTAGCGAATATTATTAGGTTTGGGGGGAGTTCTTGTTTCATGTTCTTCTCATGAAGGATTTTAATATGAACAAGAACTTTCTCTCTTAAAGACACGCACATGCACACAGATAATGCATTCATAGTAGCATCAATTTTTTAGGTGCTACCAAACATCCATTCCAACAATTTGAGGGAAGAGATGATCTATGTATGTATCACTTCTTGTATTTTAGTTTTCAACTTCTGTAAATTTTCTTTTCCTGGAAATTCTTAGTATTCAAATATAACATGATTTTGAAATGATATGGTCTTATGCATTTCATTTATTTGACTTCAAATATTTTATTTGCACATGTGCCTGTAAACGTTAAAGTCTTAGGATCATAAATTAATTCTCTGATTATAAGGATAAAATTATAGGGACTTTGGATGAATAACCATTTGAAAATTTGGGAAAAGCAGAAACTTGCTTGTGTTTATGTGGAAGTTTAATGATACAGGTCATTAAAATGCTTCTATAGCTTTGTTACATAAAATTGGGAAAGCTAATTTGGACCACCTCATCATTGTATTAGTTCATAATTTCATTAGATTAATTCTGCCCCGCTTCAGTGCAAAGACAGTGCTCTCCGTTTTGAACTTCGATCTAGTCTGGCCAGCAAGACTCTCCTTTACTAAGAGTGTTTCAAACTAATCAAGGGCTTTCCTTCTCTATCATAGTTGTTCACCAGCTTCTATAATATATTGCGAATGGCAGTCCTTTGCTCAAAGTTATGTGAATTGTAATTTATTGGTCTTTTTCTGTTTAAAAATTTCTAATTCTTTTTGGTAACTACACATTAATTTTATCCATGATCGGTAACTTCAGAATTTTGCTTTTATTCTAAACATCTAGCATCATAAATTTGTAAGTTTACATGTTCTTAACTTGACCCCTTAGTGAATGCAAGACCGAAAATTGCAATCCCAATTTTGATATGTTATTAAAGTATTTGTTCAATATGTTTCCTTTAGTACATCAACTATGTTCTTCTAAAATGCCTTCCATCTTAGGGGCTTAGCATTAAGAGAAAATATGTTACTCAATATTTTTAATGTGATGGAATTTCTGTGGGACAGGCTTCATAGCTCGTCTTTCTATTATCTTTCTTCTAGAATTTAAGTTGTGAAATTTTGGTTGTTAAAAATAGGTCGTGGTGTCTGTGGGAAGTGGACCATGGGATCAGCTATTTGGTGGTGGAAACTCACCAGCTTTTGCCGTAGCAGCTGTTGCAGCCCTCACCAGTGGGCTGATAGCAATCTTGGCTATCCCTCGCAGTAGTTCACAGAAGCCCAGGGCCCTCCCATGAGGTATTTTGTTGTACCTTATTTTTTGTATGCCACGAACATGAATATTAAATTGTTCAGATAGCAAGAATTTTGTATATAGCTATTGTTACTTTATTGATCAATAAAATCATTATGATCTGAGGTTTTGTTTGCCAACACATTTTTCTATTTGACATTTGAAACACCAAAAGGTGAGCTGGTTTTCAACTAGTAATGAGCCAGAGTTCAGCTAACGGTATATTATGTTGCAAATCATAGTGAATTACTGGACTGCATCACGTTTTGAAGCTTTTACATCTTTTAGAAGTTCACATCTTTACAATTAATATTTAGAAGCAAGAAACTCAAAAACAGATTGTTTCTAGAACAGTAGCTAAGTTTCCAGAATTACTCATTGAGGCGGCCCTTCAAAATGGAAATGGTGGACACCACGTGTAAGGAATGATGGAAAATGAAATACTACTAATGGGGCATTATTTTGCATACTCATGATGGCAACTTAAAATGTAATGGTGACTAATAATGTAGCTTTCAATGAAGTTTTTCCCAAAAAAAAGGTATATTGTAGCTTTTCATTGAATTCTGGACGAGACAAGTTATCTAAAAATCAGTGGAGAATTTTATTTTGATGAAAAATCTGCCCACCTGCTTGAAAATGTTGGTTTAAGCCTTGAATGTTGATTCGAGAATTAGTCCCAGGACTACTTCCTTAGCACCAAGATAAGTTGCTGCTGATTGGGATCTATTCCTTTGGAAAACACCAACTTTTTTTTTTCTTTATATGCATAAAATTTTTTGTTTTTTGGGTGAAAGGAAATCTTGCAATTGCCCATTTGTGGTCCAATCATGATGCATTGGAATCTCATGCATTTTGTGCCCGAATTTGTTGTATGAATGTGGTGAATTGTGCTTGGTGGCCAACAGTAAGTATGTGAGTTGTGCTGATTGAAACCTTGATGGAGACATGTCTTTTATGCTCTTGATTTTTCATTTTTTCCTTTGAAAAGCTTGGTTGATTTTTATGAAAGGGCGCTCTTTATGATTGTTCTGTTCTTTTTTTATATATCTTTATTTTATTTTTCCTCTTCTTTTTCGTTGCTTGCATCTGAACGTTGGAATAAATTCTTGTGTTTATTGCACTTTATCAGTATCCATGAAAGGCTGTTTTGCTTTCAATGCTCCCCCCACACAGCACTTTCTATCGAAGCCCTGTAGAAAAGCATTTAAAAGATGTGTCTCTTTTAGAGTACAGTTTGATCCAGCATGTTACAATCATGCAAAAGAAAATTGTAGTCTTGTGGCTGATTAACACTGATAGAAAAGAACTTTCTACGTATTACGTGGGTAAAAAAAAAAAAAGAAGCCAAAAGTACCATCGACTATGCTTTGATGTTGGTGCATATGCATCTCATCAGACACAGCTGTGGCATTTGGATGGAACATTGGAAACAGGAGAACAGTAGCAGTAATAGAATATTTGTGACTTTTCCCCGTACAAAAATAAATAAATGAAAAAGAAAAACCAAACCAAAGCTTGCATTCTTGTACATTCAAGTTCCCATCATAGCCCAATTTGTTGACGTATGAACTAGTAAGAGATACCTTAGGGCATCAATGCGAGCCTTTTTTTCTTCTTCTTCTTCTTCTTCTTCTTCTTAAGACTAAGCGAGCATCAAGCTTTTTCTAGGGGAAGAAAAAAAAAAGGGGTAGTGAGAGATGTATGGAATCTGTGAATTTGTTCGACTTTCTAGACAAGTGTGTATGAGATAATATGTTTTATTAATGTCAAATCCTGAAAGGTGTTGTCACTGTTGCATATCCTTTTCCTCCTTTGAAACTTGTATTTGGTAATTGTACGAAGCTCTTTGGTGATGCTAATAAAATTGAAATTCTGTCTTGAACTCCACTTCGACAACAACTTGGTGTAAAACAGTTTTTCCCTTACTTTTTATTAAACTTTAGAGGCGAATAGAATCGTCGTCGTCGTCGTCGTCGTCATCATCATCATAGTCACTCACTCTTGTGATCCTCGAACTTGTCAATTTCTATTTTTACAATGTGATGTCGGATCTACCTTCGGTAAGCCCCACTTCCCAATTGGAATGCTAAATTCGAAATTGGGGTTTCACATTTTTTCAAACCGCAGTAATATAAATTTTTATGGGAGACGAACATTTGTCCGTTGGTTGTGTTGCATGACACATTGCTCTCATCTACAGCAGCTTATCGAGCTGGGGACACATGGAGTCTGACATTGGGTGGATGGGGGGGGGATGGATTTCAGGGAAGAAGTAGTAATTTCTTGTATCTTGTACAAGAAACAAAGCAAAAATCTGATTCTTGAGCTGCCCAGTGCCCCAGACTGCAAAATGAGAGGGAAAAAGAAAGAAAAAGGGCTATGCTGCTGCTGCTGCTCTACTTGGTTGGGAAGGGTGATGGTAGGGTTGGGTTTCTGCTGCCCCTCCCAGTCCCAGACAGAGCCAAGGGTCTCTCTCCCGCGGGGCGACAATCTCATCTCTGTTGTGAGAAAAGGGATACATATTAAATGGTTGCAATTGGAGCACGTAATTGTCTCTCAGTGTTCCCTCTCTTCCATCTGCCGGTTTTCCATACAGCCATTCTACTGTCATCTCCATTAACACACTTGGTGGTCCCATTCATGACACCAACACCTACCTCACACACCCATGAAGATAACCTTTTTAAACAAGACCCCGAAAAACAGTTTTTCCTCTTCTTTTTTCTTTGAGGGTTATAAAAACAAAAGGGTCAATAAAAAGAAAAAAGATCCGCTGGATATGACACTTTGGTCACTTGAACCCTAAATCCCCCACATGTTTAGCTCATTTCCCTAACCTCTCAAGTCTCAAGTTTTCCCGCAAACAAAGCATGATTTTGTTCCCCCATTTGGAAAACAGGGCAGTTTTCTTTTGCCCATCTCATCTCTCAAATCTTCCAATCTCTGACACATGGGAGTAAGCAACTTGGAGGAAACTGATCACCTCATATATATATATATAAGGATATATATATATATATATATATATATGCCTACACCATACTCAAGACTGCCACCGCTGATTATTTCTATTACTTTTAGCCTAATAGGATTTCCGCAGCCCCACCGGCTTAAATAAAAATTTTTGAAGGGCCGGACTTCAAGAATAGCTTGATAACATACTTATTTTATTGCTGCTGATGATATGGTAGTATTATATGAGGTTAAGATCTTAGCATATCTCTTGGTGGAGAAGCAAGCAATTCTTTTTCGTTTCTTTTTTTCATCACCGATGGAGCAGCACCAAGCTCAGCCATATATGATAGACAAAGAAACTCCGCCACAAGTTTGTTCTTTGGTATTAATATTTTATTGCTTCAACGCCGTGCCAGTATGTCTGCTTCATTGCCCTTAAATAGAATGAAGGAAAAGAGAGAATAGATGGGGCCTAAAACACAGATATCAGCAAAAGCTTGCCACCCCTCATATTCCGCAACTAGTCAAAGCGCCATGGAGTTGGTTTCCATCACATGGGCTGTGCGAAAATGGAACATGCATGGCTCCCTTTAAAACATGCAAAAAAAAAAAAAAAAGGAAAACAAAATCATCTGCGTGCGAAGCTCTAGCTAGCAGCCATTGTCAAAAAATATACCGATATGCTCCTGTCATTTCGCCAAACAGAGGATCGAATTAATTTGCTTGTCAATCCACTCCCACTTGACAAAATTCAAGATAAACTTCTTTACCTTTTTTATAGTATAGTACAAAAGAAAAACCTAAAAAGAGATGAGAGAAGGGTTTCTTTGAGATTATCCACTTAAGGGAAACAAGTAATTTAATTAACTCTTTTTAAGAGTAAACCCACCATATATATATATATATATATGAGTACAAAATGGCAAAAAGGTCCCCCCATTATCATTATACCAAACTTTCATTGACCTGGCGGTTAAAAACAAATGCTACAAAATCACCTTCGTGGGGTTTGGGTTTCACCCCATCTTACTACGAATATATTATTATATTAATGGAAAGATGAGAACAAAGGGCTCTGCTTCCCTTCTACACACTTCACAGCTTTGAGCCCTCGCTCTGTCTTTCTTTCGAGTACTCCGCCACTCCGCGTGAGCCAAAGGAATACAAATTCGAAAAGACTAACTTCACAGTCAGTGACAAGAGATAGAGAGAGATAGAGGGAAAAAAGAAAGCAAAAGAAAAGAAAAAAGCCAAGGAAAAAAAGATAGGATGGCCGCCCCCCACACCCTCCAAGTTCGACAGCATTTCTGAGTAGACCCTTTTCCAGCGTCCTCCTGGATATATTGACACGCTCTTAGGAGTAGGCCCTATCCCCTCCATGTATAAATATCCACATTCCTCACTCTCCAAACCCCTCAAACAAACAAACCTCGTTAAGCAAGCGGCAAACCGGCTTCTTTCCCTCCTTTGCAATCTTTCTCTTCTTTTTGTTTCTTCCTTAGCTTGTTTTATCCAGGAATTAAGATAGCTAACCTCTGAGCTATGTGTAACCCGAAGCCATCTTCTCCCACGTCCTCATTTCTCTCTTCTAACAAAACCCCTTTCACCAAAACCGTGGATCTTCCCAAGGATGATGAAGAGCAACTACATGGATTGCCAACTCTCTCTGAGGTATAACAACAGCTTAAATTGTGAAGACAAACGATATATGTAGCCATTTAGGAAAGAGTCTCTTTTTTTTTTTTTTTTTTTGTCAGCCAACGGCTTATTTTTCTTGTTTTTTTTGCTTTCAGGCCCTGGAAGAAATCAAAGCCATAGGGAAGATCTCAGGCCGACAGGCTATGAGTAGTTTACTTCTATATTCAAGAGCCATGATCTCCATGCTCTTTCTTGGATATCTTGGTGAACTTGAGCTTGCTGGTGGCTCTCTTTCCATTGGTGTTGCAAACATTACTGGCTACTCTGTAATCTCTGGTTTAGCCATGGGGATGGAACCCATTTGCGGACAAGCTTATGGTGCCAAACCATGGAAACTTCTTGGTTTAACCCTACAGAGAACTGTGCTTCTCCTCCTCTCCGCTTCAATCCCTATCTCTTTCATGTGGGTCAACATGAAAGGTATCCTTCTTTGGTGTGGTCAAGATCAAGAAATATCATCCGTGGCTCGTACATTTATTATTTTCT